TTCCACAGTCAGGTTGCAGGGCAGTGGAGAAGGGACTCTGTGGTTGGACCACGTCTCTGTCTGTGCATCAGTCACTCTGGGCAGGGCACTGCCATGGCCTGGATGGAGCCGTTTGGGTGTGGATTCAATGCCATGTGTAGGCTGGGATGCAAGAGTGGGGCTCCCTGAAAGAAAACTAGCTGTGCAAAAAACAGATCTTTGTTCCTACCCCGTCCTCTTCTGCAGAAGCGCCACTGTAACCAGTTTTTCTGCTTAAATTTTATGAGTAAAAATCAATACCACTACAATTTTATACACAGATGATTGTATCTTATGGGGTTATTTTTGTGCTTTTACCCTTGATCAGTATGTTTACTTGATAAACTGGTGTTACTCCTGCCCCTTTACTCCTGTCCACTTGAGGTGTCACTGTAAGGAAGGTTTGACCGGGTTGCTTAAAATTTTAAGTTATGCTACATCTTACAAGAGATGACGTGGACATAATACATGAGTTGCTCTGGTTTATAGTTCCATGCAGGCTGGAATATATTTTACCACTATTCAACTGGTGCGCATTTAAGTTTGCTGCTAGTTTTTCATAGAGTTTCTGCGTCGAAGGGCATGTACATTGAAGGCACAGGTACGTTTGTATATGTGTATGTATCTGCCAGACTGACCCTCCTCAGTAAGATGTTATAACATTGGTTTCCACATGCTCTCCAGGCTCTGAAAAATGTTGTGAATTTGGTAAAGTACATATGATCATCTTCATTTTGCATTAGGATAGGCACTCCTGGAATCACCTCAGAGTCACAGGACTAGTAAGTACTTGATCTGGACTGACAGACGGTAACCAGAAGGGAGATGGCAGGGACGGTGGGGGCTGAAGAGTTTCTGGGAACCACGGTAATGGACACATGTACGAAACAAGAAGGCGCGGAGTCAGGAGCAGGAGGTGGGGGTGCCTGGGGTGGGGGGAGATGTGGGAGGAAAAGGCAGACAGCTAACTGTACTTGAACAGCAGTACATTTATTAAAAAACGGGAAAAAATTCTTCCATACCTGGTGTTCTTTCAGTTAACTGAAACTGAAAAATACTTCATTAATTTTCCCTTATTTTTTCTTACACCTTAATGCTTGGCACTAATTTAATGGTCTACTCTGCAGAAAGCCGGATGATATTTGTCCAACTTTTTCAGTGGGAATTAATAAAATAGCCAGTTAACCTCTATTGTGATGAAACCCTTCACTGAGTAGATGACATTGACTTATTACATTATGCCAGGCCAAAAAAAAAAACCTGTTAAGAGACTTGAACACAGTTTAGTGTCCAGCTGTTTACCCACCGATGCACAGTAAATGGTCTCTCAGCCGTTGAAATTATAGTGACAGATCTCTGCCAAGATTTTGCTGAATAAGCCAAGCAAGTTTTTACATTAAAAGATAGATAACTCCTGCAGTAACTTCTGCTCATAGAGCTTGGAACAATTTTAATGATGATGGAGTGAGCATATTTTTGAGGCTGATTCATTAAGATTTACCAAAATATCTTATTAAAGAGTGTCTTCTACGTCTGGTTCTTTTAGTTGGGCACTTTCATTAACAGTGATATTTTGTTCTTTATTTTTCAAAGTGATATCAGTGATTTTATGCCAATATTATTTATGATATGCTTGAAGATTGTTTATTTTTCAAATGCAGCTTTATTTAAGTACGTATGTGGGAAGTATTTTGAGTTAGTTAAAACACCTTTTTAATAAAATTTTAAACGTGTTAGAACACGTGACTTTTAATCAAGTTTTAATAAAAAATAGTTTTAGGCCCTGGGTGGTGTAGCTCAGTGGATTGAGCACGGACCTGCAAACCACACGATCGTGGTTCGATTCCCAGTCAGGGCACAGGCCTGGGTTGTAGGCCAGTTCCCAGCAGGGGACGCACGAGAAGAAACCGTACACTGATATTTCTCTCCCTCTCTCCCTCCCTTCCCCTCTAAAGATAAATAAAATCTTTTAAAAAATAGTTTTAGGGACAGACTGGAACTTGCTCCTTTTAGACAGGTTGCAATTCAACGTCTAGGTAGAGAGAGAGTCTCACGATGGTTACTTTGGTTCTCTTCAAATTTAACACAGGAATAAGTGTGGACAAATTCACTTTCCGACTTAGTTATCTCTCTTTCCAACAACTCTTCTAAACTATCCATTTAAGTCTAGGAATGAGAAATAACAGGCACTGGAAAAAGGTTTTGGATTGTAAAAGTAACCCTGGCCTCAGCTGGACCAGATTTATTAACAAGCAGTTTTCCAGAGTCGGCCCCTGAGATTCCTCTCCTCCTCCTGCCGCCGCGTTTGGTCTCTCATCCCAGCACAGGTCAGATCTGCGGTGCGTGAGGCCTGCGTGTGCTCGGGCCCTTTTTTCTGCTGTCACGTGAGCCTGGACGGCTAGATCTGGTTGTTTTTCGTCTTTCTATTCAAGATCAGGCCTGGCACATCACTGGTGTAAATGTTGAATTCAACTGATCGTGGCAAAATAATATACTGTGAACAATTGACAAGTTATTCTATTTCACAAACTTAGCCACTTAAAGCTATTTCTTAGATTTTCATAGTGCTTCAGTGAATCACTTTTTACGTAAAAGGATTCCATGTACTTGCTAATTTTGGTTACAGAGAATTGTTTTGTACAGTCTGAGGGTAATTATTAATAGTTTACCATCTGTTTCAAAGCCATATTTTGTGCATGAGATGATCTCTCGGTTTTAGATTTTGATGATTTTGAACTTTTAGGTTTTGTTATTGTTTAAAATGTGCAGAATATTCTAATCTTATGCAGTTGATTTTGTGGCTTAGATTTTGGGTGCCTTTTCTTACAAGGAACTGAGTATTGTTGGTAACTGGCAAGATGAGATGTCTATCTTAGACATCAGGCTTTGCCTTTCTAGAAGTACAAGGCTTTGTAGACTCTATTTTTGCTTTAACTCTCACCTGAGGATATGTTTATTGATTTCAGAGAGAGAGGAAAAGAAAGCGAGAAACATTGATTGGCTGCCTCCCACACATTCCCCAGCTGGGAATTGAACCCACAACCTAGGTCTGCCCTCTGACCAGGAATCGACCTTTTGGTGTATGAGGCAACCCTCCACCCAACTGAGCCACACAGGCAGGGCTGGGCTGTATTTTAATTCTAACAGAAATGGAGGGAGAGGACTCGTATTTATTTTTGTTTTCCTTTTTACCTCCCTTTATATACTGTTCCCCTCCTTTATATAACACGATCATCAAAATTTCCCTTACATGCATTTACAACCACATCAAAGTGCTATAATTTTTCATGTGTTTTCCATTACAGTTGACATTCAACATTATTTTGTGTTAGTTTCAGGTGTACATAGAGGTTTGACAATCATGTACTTTGTATCACTTTAAAATGTCCATGCCTTCCTGGCCCCATGCATAACATTGCCGACTGTGTCCCCTGTGCTGAACTCTACGTCCCTGTGACTGTTTGGTGGCTGCCAGTCTGTGCTTCTGACCCTCCCCCTGCCCTCCGGTGCCCTCCACCCCCTGGTGGCCACGTGCTGGGACTCGGGCTCAGTAAGTGCTTACTGTGTCCAGTACCGTGAGGGGCACTGTGCGTATCTACTGTGTCCAGTACCGTGAGGGGCACTGTGTGTATTTATTGAGTCATTAATTGCCTAGTAATCTGTGTCAAAGTTGATGTAATCCTCACTTACAAACGAAAAAGCTGAAGCACAAAGGGAATATCTCTTTTGGCCACTTGACCTCTATTTTATTTCTGATACAGATCAAAGGAAAGAGTTGACATGTAGATTAGTGGAAAATACAGTGGGACTTTTAAATCTGCCGAAATGTTCAATTAGAATCCTTTACAATAGCCCATCTGTTATTAAATACCTGGAAATTTAGAGGATGATGTTGTAAACTCTCTTTTAAATGTATAGTGAAATTTGCAAAAAAGGCAAGGGGATTTCCTCAGTGCCGTGGAACAAGAAGCAGTTTAGAAGAGTGGTCTGTTTCCTCTGAAGGTGCTGGGGCCCAAGGTCTCCCCTGATCTGTGTGACGCAGTAGCTCTTACGAGAGCCGTGTGGGATCAGGAGGCAAGGCTCTGGGGTGTTGGGGCGAAAACTTGGAACCTCAGACAGCTCTGCGTGCTCTCTCATCGACCAGAACTAAAGAGAAGGTCTGATCTTAAGCCGTTGGGTAAATAAAGGGCGTTATAGAAAGGATGGGAGAGGGAAGTGAGGCTGCGAAACAGGCATTTTTGGGAAAATTAGAAATTAGAGATGCAACAACAACAAATTCAGCAGCCTGTAGATTAAGAACATTTCAAGGACATCAGCAGACTTAGCGCAGTAACTAATACCTGATACCAATATCAGTATCTAATACCAACTCAGTGACACCGCCCGCCGGAGTGGCGGCAGGGAGAAGGCTCTGGAAGGCTGCCCAGGGAGGCCCAGCTGCAGGGCGGCCCGTCCTGCTTCTGGGCACCCAGCCAGTCTCGTACCGCCTCCACGATTCTACAGCGTTCGCACACTGTGTGGATTGTTAGTTACTTAATATTTTCAAATAAACTTAGGATGCTGCACTTATGATTTATTTTTAAAAGAAACCTTGTATATCACCATAAAATCTAGAAACCCATAATACCAGCCCTAAATGGAACGTACCTTAAACATTGAAAAGTTACTGAGTGTGAGGTCTACCTTCTGTCCTGGGGAAGGAAAACCAGGCTCCCAGGGATGCTGAGGACAGCGCTTTCCTCCTCAGAGGAAGAGAAGAGGGGGCAGGAAGGACAGGCGCCCGGTGCGTGGCTGCGTCCCTGCGTCTTTGCCACGTGTGAGCACTTGGGCACCAGCAGCCGCACTAGCCGGGTGTGCAGGGGTCTGAGCAGGGAGGTGCGACTCTGTCTGAGTGTTTTTAACGTTTAACTTTTGGGAGCTGTTGCTCTCAGCGTCCTGTATTCATGTGCCCTTTGTTTTCTTCTTTTTTCCCCCATGCGAAGCTCTTCTAAGAGCCTGTGCTGACGGAGGTGCCAACCGCTTGTATGACGTCACGGACGGAGAGAGGGAAAGGTAAGCTGTCCCAGCCAGGTTCGCAACACCTGGACTTCTGCTCCACACTTGGCTCTGCTCTCTCCCAGTGAGTGGTGACTGTTCGTCTGCCTTCAGAGTCCCGGGGAGACAGCAAGAGGCGGGCACTTCGCCATGTTGTGTGATTGCTTTGAATGGCGTCTGTTAGTAAAACTAGGCCAATCCTATTCTTATTTTTTAAAAAAGCTATTCTACTACTTCCAAATCTCAGTAAGTAGCGTTATCAAAGATATCTGTGAAGCTTTCAGACATTAACTACAATAAAACTTCCTGTGGCAGTTGGAGTTGTGATGCAATTGAAAAGGATGGAACTGGTCTCCTGCACAGAGAACACAAGTTCTGTTGTAAAAGATGCGAGATTTTTCTATTTGGCGTTGAGCAAAGCTCAGTACAATTTCCTCTTAGTTACTTCTGAGTTATACACACACACATATATTTCAGGAGATGAATAATTTATTTCTTAAGGATTTGTTATGTGTGCTGTCTGGCTTTCCTGATCTCTGCGTGGTGAGCTTTTTTTTAGAAAAAAAGATACATCAATGAAAGCAAAATTTAAATCTAGCTCATTGGCAACATGTTTATAGGCAAACCTCTTGGCAAACACAAGAATTTATAGTCCGTATAAGTAAGCTAGCTATGAAATTTAGTTTCACTCCTCTCGTGTGTTATTAAATGTGGTGAAATGTTTTAAGTTTGAGAAATTATCTCCATGCTGCAAAAAGTAAAATGAAAATATTACAATGCAGTGTAACATGAGTGCGAATCAATATGTGTATTTTGAAATGACATAAACTACGTCCTGATGGCGTCAGAGTTTTTAACGTGTTGTTTCTGAAGCTGGAGCTGCTTTCTGAAAGCAGCCGGCTGCTTATAGGGGGACGGCCTGTGTCCTCGAGCCGGGCGCAGTGATGTCCAGGGACGGCGTGCTTTGTCAAAGAATGTGACCCTGGTAGCCACCTAGGAAGCGATTTGAATTCGTGACGTTTTGTGCTTCTTTGGTTTTTTTTTAAAAATATTTTATTTATTTATTTTTTGAGAGAGGGGCAGGGAAGGAGAAAGAGAGGGAGAGAAACATCAATGTATGGTTGCCTCTTATGCATCCCCTGCTGGGAACTGGCCTGCAACCCAGGCATGTGCCGTGACTGGGAATCGAACCGTGATACTCTGGCTCACAGGCCCGCGCTCAATCCACTGAGCTATGCCAGCCAGGGCTCACTTCTTTGGTTTTTAACTGAATGGATTTTTCTGACTGTATTCAGTAAGACCTGACATGGACAGTGTGTAAGGAAATACTCCAGCACGTGTTGTAAAAAGTACCGGGGCCAGTTAGTTCAGGGCCCAGCCTAATGCCCATGAGGCGGTGACGGATGGGTGGTGTTCGTTCCTGGCTGACGCTGGCTGGCTGGCAGGCCATCTAGACTGACCGCCATCTCTCCGATGGCGGGTGTAGCTCGTGACCATGATGTTATAGACAGGGCTGTGGAGGGATGTGGCGCGGGGCTTCTCACTTGCTCCTGGGTCGTAAGGACGTCTTGCGTGCTGGTGAAAAAGAATGTTTATTGGATGGGGCTGGACTTGAATGAGGGAGAGAACGCACAGCACTAAATCACTGGGAAAAGCAAAACAGATGACCAAATCGGGGAAGTGAGCACTGCTAGTTTTGCCAAATTTCAGAATAATCATTTCTGCTATGTCTTAACTCATTTACAAGTGATCTTATAGAAGTCTTCCCAGAAGGTTTATCTAATAACCGAGTGTTCATATGTAAAGATGTCCAGTAAGAAAATATACTTCCCGTTGACTTTCTGGCTGTAATCATGTGGTGCCTTGATTGCCTCTCTGGTACTTCAGGGTGTGGCTGTCCTGAGCAGGGGTCAAGATTCTGAGTCTCTAACAGGGAGGTAAGTGAAGCTAACCGCCCCATGTGGGAATTAGCCTTTGCAAGAAATCTCATTAAATCCAGACCCTCATTTGAGAAACTAATTGGATACAGGTGACTAAACGTGATTCCTGTTCATTGTATTTTTGAACAGCGGGGCTTCACCATGAAAAAGGAAGAGAGTATTTGTGGGTTTTAAAAAGCCAAGTACAGTTTGTGGGCTCCTGCCCTGTTGGTTCTTACGGGTTTATTTACCGTGTCCGCATGTACAGTGTGACACTTGTGGGGGTGCACAGGAGCGTTTGAAAGTGAGCCCCAGCGGAAGGCAAAGGGAGGTGCTCACACACGTGGGATGGGAGGGGGGCCGAGGCAGGCAGTGACGGAGGGACAGAGCCGGGGCCCGATTCCACTGCTGCACGCAGCCCCCGCTGTGCCCGTCGTCAGCGTGCGCCTCTGCTTCAGCCCTGGAAACAGCCCCTCTCTCTTCATGGGGGGGTGTGTGTGTGTGTGTAAGGAAGTCCTAAACGTCACTTTCTTATTGTGAAAACAATGCTATAGTGATTTGACTATCTTAGTGAGTTGGGAGGGACAAGAAGAAAATAAAAATCATCTGTTATTTCTTACTAAGTAACGAAGACTTGCACTGACTGTCCCTGTTCTGTCCTGGGGACGAACAAAATCACAATGAGTTTTTCTTGAGAGTGGACATAATCTCCCTTAGGCCTAGAAAGTACCTGGGAATATTAGACATTCCATAAATATCTGTTAGTAAATGGGTGTTTGATGGCAGTCACTCTTTTTTCTCTTCCCATAAGGTTTTGAGTGACTTTGATGAATAACCCTCATATTTTGGATGGACAGGTGGCCTCTGCTCTGAGAGCTGGTAGGTCCTGGTTTGGGTGTGTGTTCGGTCCTTACATCAAACTGAGGCAGGGTCAGGACCACTCAGGAAAACAGAACGGACGCCTCCAGTGACAAGGGGACCCCGGCATCAGCTGTGGAGGTGGCACCAAAGAGGAAGAAACTTCAGGAAGATTCAGTCTCTGTGGTGTATCCTAGGACTCTTCATTGACTGTGTTCCTAACCCCAGATGTCTCTGTGGGGCAGTAAGGTGGGGTATCGGCTGTACTGGCCAGTACCCCAGTTCTCATGCTCACATTCTGGTGATTCAGAAGTCCTGTGGCGTCCTCCTAACATCTGCCTCCCGATTCCCCCGAGTCGGTGAAACCCACCGCTGGTCAAACCGGGGTGGTAAGCATGGCCTGGCCCCACTTGTCAGAACAATCACAAGTTGTGGAGATGGGGGAAAATATACGGGAGAAGCAGGGTGAGATTCTCTAAGGAAAGTTTAGGGAGCAGATTTTTTTCTTGCCCATCACCAGTAGGCATTCATTTTGTTTTTCTAGTGATGATTTTACTGATGCTCATTTAATTCAGGAAAGTGTAAATTGTCCATGTCAAAGAATAAGGAAAGATTATTACTTGCTTGCACCTTGTAAATAGTGATGATTCAGGGAGGGTTAAGCCCCTCCCCCTGCAGCCGCCACTGCTTCCCTGCCCCCCCCCCACCCTGCCCCTCTTCCAAGTCTCTGCCCTGGGAACAGGGGCTCAGGGAAAGAACCGCTTCTGCTCCGTGACTCGCCAGCCAGGGCCTGAAGGCGGTCCCCTGTGGCACCGCTCCCTGCCTTTCCCATCACAGGGAAGGCTGAGAACAAGCAAACACAGAGACGAGTGTACATCTGATGTTACACAGGTCAGTGAATTGTCTCCAGGGCAGACACTCTAACGCCGCAGGTCCTGAGATCGGCACATAGAATATTGGCAGCGGCGCCCCCGTCTGCTCCTTCCATCGACCTCTCCCCTGACACCGCTAATGTTAGATTAGTTTTGCCTGTTTTGGGACTTTATAAAATAGAATAATAGTATGTTGAATTTTGAGCATATGGGCCTTTTTGGGGGGAGGAGGGTATAGAATTCGTATTTCTCTGAACCTGAAGAAGGATCAGGAAACACTGATGTGGGTTCTCACAGGAGAATTCGGGCCACACCAGTGACGTGAGGGGCAGAGGAAGTGCGGGACTCAAGCATTAGGGAGTCAGTTGTTCGGAAGCAAAGCAGCTCACCAAATCGAGGGCACAGCCAAGCTCTTTGGCCGTATGGGAGAGGTCGTTTATATTGATCATTCTTTTTTTAAAATAATGCCTTTAAAGATAGATAAACATTTGTAAACCATAGTGTATTAGAAAGTTAAGGTAAACTGACCAAAAAATTTTTTTTTAATTAAAAAGAGAACTGTGGTATGAGACAGTGTCTCTTTAGAATAATGGAGTAGCAGAAGTAAGAATGTAGCATTTAACTTCTTCATTCATTCATCCACCGAATACTTTCTGTAGTTAAACGCTTTGATAGTACATATAATATACACTTCCTGCTCTCGAGAAACGCACAATGTAACAACAGTAAACAGGACATCAGTCTTCAGTATGCTAGACTACGGAGCACACGAGGAGGAGGTTCCAGTTCAGCATGACAGGCCCTGTGCCGCAGGGGCCACGGAGGGTGGGCAGTGAATCCAGAACTGAGGTAGCTCGTCCCTCGCGTCCTGGGTGAAATCTAAACTCACTACCTGGAGACGCAGGGCCGGCTCTTCCTTGTTTTTCAGCCCTGCCCCGTTTCCTCTCTGCCTTCCCCCGAGCCTCCCCCGCGCTGCCTGGGCGCCGGCCAGCCCGGGGCCGGCCTTCAGCTGTATGTGTCAGCACCGTCCGCCGTCCTTGCCTGTCGGCTGCCACCATCCGGTCGGTCAGTGTGCGCAGGTCCCCTGCCGCACTGGCCCTGGGATGGTTCGCGCAGCACGTGCTGGCCTTTCTCTCCCTGAAGCCGCGCCCGGCTGAAACACGGCCTCCCCCAGCCTGATGGGACAGGACATCACTTACACTGTGGTGATGCCGCAAATGACAGTGTCGGGCTCCCATTACCTTCATTCAGAGCTGCGAGGACTTACATCCTTTACTGGGCGATAAATTTCTAGTGGTCTCTGGTCCCTTAACTTTGCATAACCCTTTACAATTATTTACTTTCTCATTTTGTCTTGTGACTTACCTAC